CGTGAGCCGCACGGTTCCGACGATGACCGCGACTCGCTCGAGCTGAGCTGTGTACGACGGGGAGAAAAGTGCTCTGCGAAGCAAACCGTCTCCATCGCTCGCGGAGATCGACACATTTGCGGATCTCTTGCACTGATTTCACATTTTATCAGCTTTATGGGATGAATTATATTAGTCCATTCCGAACCAGGATTCTGATTCCGGAGCTCCGACCCCGAGCTCGCAATGTCGCCAGTGGTGGTCCCGTCGATTTTCGATGCATGAGACGCTTGGACATGGTGTCGCGTTCCCCTACTCGGCCGAGGTGGACAACGATGAGCAAGGGCGATGATTCGGGAGCTTGTTTTTCGGGGGAAGCGATGACAGGGTTCAGAATGCTTCAGTGGAACTGAACTCTTTAGCACCCAATTCGGAGTTCTCGAGTTCGAACCGCTTTCTAATTTCTAATTGGGAGTCGAATTGCATGCTTTTTCGAGAAACCTGACACAGGCAAGCCGCGTCGTCCGACTCGGATCGAAACCAGCTCGTCGTCGGGACCCTCGATGGAAAACTTCGGAACGATGAGACGTAATTGGAAACTTACTCCGGTCTGACTAAGCAGCTCAGACCAGATCTTCGAGAGCTTGAACCGTGAGCCGATCGTGTGGTTTGCGGACCTTCTCGAGAATTGTCCGGAAGAGTTTGAGAGGCATCTGATCAGTGTTGGTTTCATGACATGATGAATGTGACAAGGAAGGACCCATGATTCTACATTCCAGTAGATACCAAATACTCCGATTATTTCGATTTTTCGATTCTTCATGATCGAATAGATGCTAGCATAGGTCCAATAGATGCTATTCAGGAGATTCATGGTGATGTGATGATCGATTAAATGCTATCTACAGAGAGACCCCCAAGGCACATGCGCTCTTATATGAACGAAATGATGCCCTACGGGAATGTTTCCAGAATGAGATAGGCAAGGCAAGGTCCTCTGCGGAAGATCTATGCGGAAGAAGGATGATAACTAATGGAAGAGACATCGAGGCAAAACGCCCGGAGACGTGACGGCTATGTTAGCATCGCGCTACATCCTACGTACAGTGAGAGCTGTCTAAGCGGGCCATGCGCGGTGCCGTTGAAATTCGGTCCGATAACTCAGGTGGTCCAATGACGCTCCAAGTATACTATAGACCAGCGGTTCCCAACCTTTTTGGCTCCGCGGCTCCCTAGCGAACCCAGAATTCCCCCACGGCTCCCAGGATACCCAGTGCCCACGCGGCTCCCGCGGCTCCTACCTACTCTCCCTTCTTTTTCCCCTAAAAGGACCATTCGCAACTCAACTCACTCATAACTTGCATGTACATATATTGTTCACAAATGTTGCGCCTCCCTCCCGTCAATTTCCCGTTAAAGAGACTGAATGGGAATCTCCGGAGACAAGCAGCTCCTGGCTGGAGAAGGTAGCCTCGCGGGCATACCAGAGCTCTCTAACAAATGAGTCCAATCTCTCTCGATGGAAGAGAAGAGTTGAGCTTCTCGAAGCTCACGGGAAAAAGCTTAGTGGTGTATGAAGTCTTCTCTGCGGGGAAGACACAAGGAAACAAAAGGTGCTCCGTGCGGTGGTGTGAAAGCGAGTGAGATTTTATTTTAGCTTCGTTCACTTCTCGATAGAGTTGGGCGGAATAGGTTTGAACCGAATGGCGGGAACACAACCGTGGCAGATGAAGTCGATCCGTTTCGGGACCTTCCCTTGGAATTGACAAACCCTGACGGCCCGGACCTACACCAGAAATTCGTCCCAGGTTCGGCGGCTCCCCCAGAAAAGTCCCGCGGCTCCCAGGTTGGGAACCGCTGCTATAGACTATAGACTGCTGATCGGTCCGCGGGGAAAACGGTCCAATATGTCAGATGGTCCTTCCAGTCAGTCTTTTTCGGCGTTTACCTTTCGATGAATGGGAAGGTGAAGGCCTTGATCTTGGCACGTGATAGTACGTGAAAACCGTGTTCATATCAACTATAATACATTGTCTCAAGCACGAAGATGTAAAGATGAAGCTCCAATCTTCGGATTCAGAGCGCTCGACAGATATTGGGGCGTAGATACTGTCGCGCGACGCTCGAATCTGACTCCGTCTGCAGGGCTTCTACCGTGCTGCCGAGTCGCTCAATCATGGCAGTTCCCGATTGTTGTCATCGCGATTGATTCAGGTCACGAGATACTCTAAATCTTTAGATCCGATGAATTTTTCGTTCCATCTCTTGGGGAAAGCGATCAAGTTACCCGAAATGTTAACTCGGCAATCGTATTTTTTGCTGAGATTCAAAGAGGAGACCAACAATTCAGGTCCTCGGCACAACGATTCGAAGGCTCGGAATATCGAAGGTTCGTCTTTCCATTATGCGTTATGCTGTGTGTTTGTCGTAAGTTTGTCGTAAGGCCTGTCTTGAAATGAGGCCACTGACTAGTCGGCTTCTGACCCCATATTCCCCGCCTTGAGAGGTGGACGTCGATTTGAAGAAGCAATGAGGAGACCGAAGGATTGCCGGGAGTGGTCCAGAGTGGCATGGAGCAGGGCTCTCCTGGGCTTGCCGCCGAATAACGGTTTGTAGCTTCGGAAAGGGACGACGTTGTGTTGACATTAAGGAAATTACTAGCTAATGCTTTGTCTACCTCGATTTTTAGTGCCTCCATTTGAGGAATACCGCTTCTCGAGGAGCCCTATATGACCCGAAGCTCCTATTTCGGCTCAGGTTCTCAAATAATTACAATCGGTGCCGTAAAAGTAGCCTAACAGATTTTTAAACGTCGTCCGAGAGTAGTTGCTCAGTTTGTGTCTCGTAAAATTTTCCCGATTGCTTCTTAATTACCAACAGAAGCGAGAGGAACCTCTCCTCGGTAGAAACACATTTTCAAAGAGTCAACCGCCGGCTTTTTCTCTATCAAATTGGCAACTCCTCTGGCGCAAGGCGGCGAAAAATTCCGCTCTCCCATCTGGGTGATACTCGGACAGCTCGACCATGCCGCGTCAGAGATGCAATGCAATATTGTGGTACTTATCTGATCTCCGCAGAATGATATCCATGCCAGAATGCTTTCTCGTTTCATGTACCATCTACAAACTTCGCCGAGAAAGGTTCAGAGCGGTCTCCCCTTTACTTCGATTGACTTCGCCAAAAAGATAATAATAGTTCGCAGACGGGTTGCGAGTGTATCAGGGCCTGGATGCGCTGGTACAAATTCATTCTGACCACTATTCAATGAGGCTGCCGATTACCTCAAAGCCCCTGCCATAAAAGGAACATCCGGAGCGATGAGTGGGCTATGAGGTCTGTGAGTTTCAGAGCGGATACGAGATAGCAGAGCCCTCGTGAAGCGTCTGAAGACGTTTACCCAATACCGCCATCGGAGACAGAATCATTCGGATCCATTGATGTGTGCGGCAGTCGGCGTCTTTGTGAATGAGGGCTCCAAACTTGTTTGCGATTCTTCGGTTACGCTACGACTGAGGACTCGTACCATGGGTATCTGTATCCATGCATGTGCGCTGTGAATCACGGACACTTCATCCGATCATCTATCTTATGAGAGGGGAATGATTATTAAATTCTCATTACAGTGCGACGGGAGACAGGGAAGCCCGGATCGCGATCATTCACAGACCTTCATGATCTGGCACATGGCTGGCGGGACGGAGAGGAGGCAGACAGGAAGGTTTCTAGCACGAATTTCGAGATATACTCCTTGCTGTCGCTTCTAGTAAACTTCGATCTTCGGTCGAATCGATAGGAGCGGCTTGTGTCGGTGTTCCCCGGGCGATGGGATGCAACGCCGAGCATCGCATCCGGACGAGTGACGTCGGAGCGAGACAAATACGCAAGGGACGAAGACCGAGGTCACTCGCAATCCGTGAAGAACGAATCAGATCATCCGAAGGGCAACTCAAGACACGCAGGGTTGAAGGCGCGGAAAGTGATTCTTTCTCCTCTCTATATCTCCGGAGCAGAGGAGAGTTTGGAAGCCCATCGAAGCCTTCATTGGATCATTTACGCTAATCGTGTGCGGTCCTCACATCAAGTGAGCGATTTGTGTCAAAACTGCACTGTGAAAATATCCTCTGTTTATTCAGTTCGGAGTAGGCCGGTCGTCAAGCTCAGCAAATGACAGCCACTTCGCACGCCTGCTGATATTGAGCCCCGCGCTATGAAAACCATCTGTGCTTAATCCCATTCTCGAGTATGTTCCCCGAGAGCTCCCTCCACACCACAATGCTTGTTCTCGGCCCGAAAAGATTGCGAAGCTTTCCATCAGAAAGACTCCAGCCCATCTTTCGGTCGGAGCTTTTTCTTCCGCCCGGAGTTACTCGAAGGGCTCCCTATCCAGCCTTGCACTTTGAGTCTCCATTCTGTCATCTTTGCCGCTCATAATGCGGCTCAATGCGTGATCATACAGCTGAGTTTCTGAGTTCGTGATGGGTTGTGCATTCCGATTATATTTTTACAATTGGTCAGATGAATCGAGGTTTCCATTCGACGATCGTCGCAAATCGCGACTCTCGACATCGGTATAATCACCTATTACATTTCCTATGCTGGTGAGCCAATTAACACTCAATTGGGGAGCTCTGCTCCGTATACGCAGCTTAATACCAAGTGAGTGCAACGAGTATCAACCGAGCATGAGGCCATTCCCTCGAAGAGCCTGTACGTTCCTCCGTTAAACGAAGCCTGGGGGCGGGTCCATTCTGGGTGGTGGCACAGGGGAGGGCTCGTCAGTTCTTCTACAACGATATTCCAATTACTAGGGCAGCGTTATTTCCCATCGTCGTCGTTCTCTCAAAAGAGAGAAATGCGAAGAGACAGAGTTCGGATCGCCCAGAGAGGGCTGACAGAGGAAGGAGAAGCGAAGCTCCGAGAGGAGACGGGCCTGGATCCGCATTGGTCCTCTGGGTCGAGGGCGGTGCTTGGGAGAGGCCGGACGCCTTTATAGGACCACGGTCTGAGTCAGTTTGTTTTCAGAGCGCTCCGAGCACTTGTGCCGTGTGTGATACCGAAGAAGCAGTAGTCCTTCTAATTCCACAGCTAAACGAGCAACCAGGATAATAATGCTTTACTCCAACCTCATCAGCGCCGCCTCGGTGTTCCAGTTGAACCTCCCTAACGTGGAGCCGTTGACGCCGCGTTCGCCTTATGGCACGGACCGTGTGTTCCATTTCTCCCCATCTTCCCCGTCTTGCTCATCTGGCGGCATACCTTCTCCGCGAGTGAGATCCCCGTGCCCAGCGAGGAAAACCAGCTTCACGATCGAAGCCATCCTCGGCCTCAGCCCTCACTACAATGAAAAGCCAGTGAACAGACAAACTCTACCGACCCCAACAATCTGCAAAGGTGCGTTCCTTTTCCACCCCGATTGCGTTATTGCTTCGTTCGCTCGCGGCCGACCGTCGAACACGACGACGCCCTCGGTGGAACCGGTCGAGGACTGAGTAGAGAGCAAGGAGTGAGGTATTAACGTGATCAATCTTGTTCGTTGTTGCAGATTCCATTACTCCACCACCTCAAGGCAACCCCCTGAAGAGAAAAGCGTCCGACATCGGCGGGACCAAAGCCAAGAGAAACCGAACGATATTCACTCCGGACCAGCTCGACAAATTGGAAGCCGTGTTCGTGCGACAGCCGTACATGGTGGGACCCGACCGGGAAGCTCTCGCGCATTCGCTGGGTCTGACGCAATCTCAGGTCAAGGTTTGGTTCCAAAACCGAAGAATCAAGCTCCGAAAAACGGAACGCGAGAACAACCATCGAGTGCTTGGCATGAGGAAAAACTCGGACTCCGAAGATCTCGCTGAGATGTCCGACGAGCGAGGCAGCGACTGCAGGGAGAAGGAATTCGATTACAGCGATGCCTAAGTTGGAGGCTTGGAGCTGTACGAAAGTCAGTGAGAGAAGGCCGAACCTGCTCTCGAGAAAGGCTCGCAACAGAGATATAAGTGCAAACGATTCGCTCAGCGACCGATCCGGAATAGCTGAGCTACCGACCAAGAACTCCGAGGTTGCACATCGTCGTGATTGACCACATCGAGACCTCATCTTCCTAGGGCCCGACGGCTGGAGGAATTGCGAGGACGAGCTCCGCACGGAAGAAGACCCCGCGGCTCGTAACTTTCGAGGAGCGCCTAGTCATCTGTATAGAGAACTTGTTGAAGGGAGAGTTGTTAGGGCGACCGATTCGCTACCGATGCAGCGCTTCCAACGTGCACTGTCTGTACAAAAACTGTATATAGAGGAGCGGATTGAAGTTGACGACGTTTTCGCGAAAAAACACAAATTATTGTCTGAGACGTTGCCAACTAATGGAGACAGAAGTTATGTAATGAAGAATCAAAAGCGGGAGAAAGGAATAAAACTTGATAATAATTTACGAATGAAAATTCCATCTCCTTCCTCGCCTCAGACCTGAGGTCTTTGTTATGAATGCTGAGCGGTGGGAAAACTCGGCCCCGCGTATCTGTAGAAGAGTTTCGTCCTCAAGTTCGGATCCAGAGGGTACACTCCAATTCCGTCCGTTTTCGCTCTATACATCGACGAGGGCCAATCGACCCTCCAGCAAATTGGGGCAGGAGACTTGACCGGGTCCCATGCTCCATCGCAGTGAGCAAGATAAGCAAAACTATGCGAATGGTCGGAGTTGTTGGCTGAACTCTTTCCTGAATCACTGAATTCTCTCCGAAGGAGATATGTTGTAGATATCCCGATCGACGAGCACTCCCGGCGTTGACTTCGAAGCCCTCGATAATCGCGTCCTCATGAGGTGGCGGAGTTGTTTGAGCTTTGTTCCGAGATCCAAGGATGGGGCTCACCGATGGAACTCGATCGACTTGAATAGCTCATGAGAACGCGATTATGGAGGGCTCTGGAGTCGACGTCCGGGGTGCATTCCCTTTATTAGAAAACTAACGGTTCTTTTCAAGCACAAGAATCACCGTCGATTCTTGAGACTCGGATGCAGCAGAAGTCGAGGAGTTCCTGAGGCACCGCGGAGGGGCTGTACCTCGATTCGCCATGGAAGTCAGAGACTCTCGGATGCATCGCTCGAATGAATACTCGAGAAACGATAGCCGCTCAAAATAATGAACGTATATTCCGCGCTCCATATTGACCCTTGAACCTCGACTGAGAATCATTCACAAGAATCCGTACGCTTCGTCTTGAAGGGAATCGAGGCTCTAGTGAAGTAGTTCGAGAACGTATTTCGACTTCGGGAGCGAATTTGGAACGCGTACCAGGCCAACATATAAACCATTAATCGTTTCCGATGAGAGCCGATGGATTCAATTATTACTCCGCTCTTCCCCGAGCGACACTCGACTGGGAGACGGAGAAGAACGTCCGACCGCCGCGAACGATTCATCCGCAGAGAATTCATGGGGTCGTGCGCTCGGCTCTCGACCACCACGGCGAGCTTGTCACCGGAGATATCCGATTCGTTCGGTTCGGAGACGGGTGGCGTTCTGCAAGCTCGTATGGGCCAGTTAGGCTCGCTTGGGCTTGCGTGAGCCGGAAGCTGAATGCATGTCGGATCTACGAGGCTATTGGAACCGGAAATCGGATCGGATGCCCCAGGTCCGAGCGGTAGCGGATGCGTTCCGGAAGGAGATCCGCCTTGGCGATCGGCGAGCAGCCCGACCTCCGCAGTTCCTCCAATTATCCCTCTAACGATGATAATCCAAGTCGCCGTCATCATCGAGATCATTATCACCGTCAATGCCGTCCACAACAACGACGACGGCGACGACAGAGGCGAAGACCATGGGGGCAAACGAGCATCAAGAGCTGCGAGCCGCTGATTTCAGCCGATGATGCTGCTCCTAGAAGCTCCAATCTGGCTCCGGCGCACTCAGAGGATTAAGTCTCATTCAGCGGGTCGACAGAGGCGATCAGCGGACTTCTATTATCGCTACGAAGCGGTCCAACATGTTGGCTGTTCGCGACTGTTGTTTAGTGGAACGAAATTCAGGAACTCTAGGCTGGGGAAGAGGCATCATGCCAACAGATATCGGTTGGAGACTTTATTCCTCTTGGATGGAGCATGCTCGTTATAATTAAATGCAAACGTCCAGGCGTTTCTCCCTGTTCTGAGCAGAACGTTTTCCCGTGCATGTATCCGGAGTGACTCGTTCGCGTCCCCTCTTGATGTATCATCGATACTGATCGATGTTTACCATGTGTCCGTCGGTCGAGGAAGATATGGGAAGCCTCAGCTTTTCGGATACGCCGGAGAATATGTAGCCCCTCCCATGACATCGCTATGACGAACAGAGGCGGAAGCGAAAGAGTCTCCCGGAGACAAATCACAGACCTCGTACCGGCCCGAGCTTCCCTGTGGCGTATTAAATAACATCGTTGGGCTCGAGGAGCGGGTCATATCTTCATTGCGTCCCATGACAATCAAGCGACATAACTCGAGCCACCGTGTAATAGATTCACCGACGACGACAACGACGAGCAACATCCTATCGCAAGCACGAGCGATACGTTGCCGGCTGCCAGGAGGCACGGGAATCTCGACGAGAGGCTCGCGGCGAGCCGGGGCTTCGCTGAGAGCATCTCGATTCGTCGTGAAAAAAAATCTCAATGCACAGAATCCGGAGAAAAAATCATTTTCGATGTCGCTGAGATTATTCTCCCTTGCTCGGTACCAAGCTGACACGATCCTGATGAGCGCGGAGTTTGCGGAGATGTCTTCTCGAGATTTTTCCGTGAAAGAACGAATTCTTTTGAGGGACGCCGACGGGGGCCTCGACTCGGCCCGAGACTGGCGTGACTTACAGTTGTCTGAATGAGGTATATGTACATTATTAGCGCGTCATTAGCATGCCCAGGGAAGACCTCAGCACGGGGCTGAACCCTTCCAGAGAGAGTTTTGCTCCGAATCTGATCAAACACGTGCACAAGGGTTACGACGGTGAGGTCATAAAACATGAGATGCCGACGCCGGCAAATTTATCTCCGACGGGGCAACCGGCTCCGGCAGCGGTTGTTTCGGCTACAGCCCCCGAAGATCCCCTCGTATCCTTTCGCTGGGTTTTCGCGGAGCGGGAGAAGCAGAATCGAGCCGAAGGAGAGCACTGTCTGGGAACTGGCGTAACATCAATTTAGCCCTAAAAAGAGAATCAATGTTATCTAACCCTTCTCGCTCGATGAGTCAAACCGAGCGCTTCTCGGGATTTGAAACCTCCCCGATCGATCCCACACTTGATTTCTCACCCATTTCGACGAATGAACCGATTGTTGAGCAAACGCCATGCAACTCTTGCTTTGCTGCGGTTTTTCAACTGTCAACAAGTCTCCCACGAAAGGCTTCTTTCTCAGAGCGGGCCTCGAGATGGATCACAGCTCTGAGAAAATTCGCCGTCGATGGCGGCGTTGTTCTAATTTAAATGACGGCGCGCGGTTTCAATGTAACAATCATCCCGTAACAAGCCTTCCCTCACTGAGTAGGAACATCTGGGGCTGAGCGTTTCAGGTGAGAAGGCTCCGGCTCAAAGCGGAGAGGGAGAAACATTCATGAGCAATTAATCTCCCGTCTCCAATCTCCAGACTCCGACCCAAAGGAACTTTGGGCGGAATCTTCCTAGGTGCTTAGTGATTAATTCGGGTTGTCCATGTTTTCGACGTAAAAACTTCATATTTGGACCTAAACGGATCAGGATGAATTTACCGAAATGCGGTTCAGTCTCCGATATGCATTTTGATGAACGGTCTATGAGATTGAGTCGGAGGACAGGGTAGGGCATGAGCCCATTTCTGAGGGGGTGTGATTCGTCTGGCGTCGTTGTTCATGATTCCGTCCTCACCAGCGAATGCAGCAGCCATAGCCGAGAGCATAGGGTGCCGGTTTCGCGCTCCCTGACGAGATGTCTGGCGAATTGATGGGCTGGTTAGCGACTGACCTGCCAGCTTGACAGCACCAGTTTGGCGTGGGAGCGAGTCTCCCAGCGCTCGGTCATCATGGAATTGTGACCACCCACAAGTCGCTGCTAGAGTTGAGGTCCGGAGTCTCGGCCGCAGAAACTCACTTCTTTCGAAGAACTTGTAAACGCGCCCGCTGAGTAGTCTGCATGGAAGGGTGCAGAATGCCTGGGAGAGGTGCGCGTTGAGTTGTCACAGCAGGCACCGGTCATTTTATCTCTGGCAGAACAGAGAATCATTCGTGCTTATTAGGAGATAGATCAAAACGTTTCCACATAGCGCGCATGCTGTCGCATCGATTTTTCCGCGACTCCCGCGTCCTCTGGTCTCGCTTCACCGACTCCGAAAGACCGAGCTGAAGAGTAATTTGGAAGCAATTGGACGCTAGTGGTGAGTGGGGATTCCAACGTCGACGCTCGACCCCCCGCAGTACTCTCGGTTTCTCACGCGTTCCATCTGACTTCTGTACAATACGCCACTTGTTAGACCAGGTATGCTAGCTATGCTCTCGAATGAGCTTCAACAGAGCCACCTTCGAAGAACGAAAAACTGTGAGAAAGTTGGACGATCTTCGTGGGCGACCTTGTTGCCAAATTTCGGGAGGTTCCTCCTGTCATTTCCATTTAGCACGTTTGCGCCGAACGGACACTCATTGGTGCATTGATGAAACTTCTCTTACTGCTCCGAAAGAGAAGGACGTCTTCTAACCGAAGCTGAATCGAAGCTTTGTATCGCCGGAGCCAGCCATTTTGATGCACGTCGGCCTTTAGCTCGGTCCGTTACGGTGCTCGACCCTGGCCACGGCGCGGCGCTCCCGTGCGGGAAGAAGGACAAGCCTCCGGTCCTTGTGGTCCGTGACACTGGAGCTTCGTAGAAAAAGGATTCCAGTGGACATTCTGCGACTTTTCCGTCACCTCCGCGTCGCCCCTGTGCAGGGG